TCCACATTTGTTTGAAGAAAAAACGGTGCCTGCGGCGGGCTCGTCGTATAATTCGTAAAACTTCGGCGCCCGCGGCGGGCTTCTCCAGAGTCTCGCAGACTGCCGACGTTCCCGCCGCCCCCTCACTCTTATCCGCATCTGCGGGGGGCTACGTATTCTCGATCTGCCGAGTGTTGGGTCCTCTGGAACGCTGCCTGGCCAGTGCCGGTGCATCTTTCCGCGGCGCTGGGCCTGGGCTCCCAGCCTGAGCGCCGCCCGCCGCCGCCCCTGTTGCCGGGCCAATCGGCCGCGGTCCGACGGCGATCTGCCGGCGCGGCAGAGCTCCCGCGCCGTCGACTCCCGGCCGTTGAACCGCGCGCGACGCTAATGTTCTGCAGTGCCCGGCGCCTGGCTCGTGCCGGGCGCCCATCTCGATCGCCCCCGTTCGCGCGGCGCGCCGCGTTGGGCCCTGCAGGTAGGATGCAGCCGCTATGCGGCCCGCGTGGTGCACCTGCGCCGCCGAGGCCAGGGGCTTGCGCATATCTGTCGGCCCACCTTTGATCGCCAGCGGCTCACCTGGGGTTCTCTGGTGACCTCTGGAACTCAGTTTTGAAAAAAGTCGCGGCCGCTGCGCTGGGCCGATGGTGGGCCGCCGGTGCCGCTCGTCAGTGTCCTTCTCGGCGCCCGCGCTGTTTATGTCGAAAGTGCAGAGGTCGAAACTGCTGAGGCTAGGGCCATTTTGGGTCGCAGACGGAAATGAGTTCGCAAATGCTTCCAGCCGCGCCCAACTTCCCAAACCTACGAGTACCTTGACGGCTGGCAATGGTTGGCCGCGCCGCCATTTCCAAACACGTGAGATTCGAATCCCGACGAGATTGTGGTTGCTCGCCTCCGCTCTCGCCGTTCCTGCCGCTGCTTCCGCGGACGTGTCCTTGCTTTTGCCACCGTCCGAGCCAGGCTTGCCAGGACCATCGGGCATCTGTGTGCGGCGTTCGTTTGGTTTGTGTCCGTGTCCTCCACGTCGCCAGCGCTGATTGTTCGGAGCTGTGAGCTTCTGGTCCATGTAGTCCTGGCCTCGCTTATTCTTGCCGCCGTTCTTGTCATGTTTGCTTTGGCTGGCGCCCTTGCTACCCTTGTTGTAGAGTGACTCCGCGTCCATGGGATCTGATTTCTCTACCTGCTCAGCGCGCCCTGCGACTGTCTAGACTCGAACAATTCCTGATCTTGTCCATGCCTTGTCTGTCGAGTCGAACCTGTGCCTGTCCATGGCAGTGTGTTGCTCGAGCCCCCCGTCGTCCTTATAACAACCATCTTTGCATAATCATTGACCACCTTTCCGTCTCCGTCTGCTCTCTTCTTCTCGTGCCGTGTTGTGGGTTCATCCCAGTCCTCGAGCTTGGCGTAGACGTCGCGGAGGCTGGTGCGCGGACAACTCATCATATTCCTTACCAGAACTCGTCGCTCCTCTTTCTGGGGAAGTGCCCTTCGACCAGCGAGCTTCCGCATTGCTTCTGCGTTTTTGTTTTTTTTGGGTTTGTTTGCTTCTGTCTCTCTCCTGGGTGTTCATGGCAAGGGCGAAGCTCTCGCCCTCCGTGAAGGTCTCCACGGCGACATGCTCGGGGAATCCACCATCTCCACCTCCATTGCCGAACTCAAAATCGAACACCTCCATCGAGATTGCCATCGTGTGCTGGAGTTGTTTCTCGACCGATCTCAACACTCGCTGAAACTTTTCTCCGGTTGTCACCATGGAGTGACCGTTCAATTCGCGATGCCACTTTGCAAAGCGGGTTAATCAGTTTTTATGAGTGCTCCCGACTTGCCCATGCCCCTGGTGTCCACCAGGACGCTGCTCCTGGTCGATTACCTGTGGGCCTCTGTGCTGCATCTCCGAACGTCTGGGTACATCGCGTCTGTGTACATCTCCGTACGTCCTTGTATTGCTGGGTCTGTGCTGTCGGCTGCTGCTGCAGCGCCTGGTTGTGCTACTGGGGTCCTTCCACTTCGTTGCAGATCAGCCAAGGCGGTGCGTTAATTCTCCTTTCTTCTTGATTACCTCAAACTGTCAAGGCTGGACCAGCACTTCTTCTGAAACCACCAAATTGTGAATAATAACCTCTTCCGGCTGCTAACGGCCTCACAACCTCTCTCCAACTCGGGTTCTTACATCACGATCCACTCCCTTGCTGCTGGTGCTTGCGCCGTGCGCGGGTTTCGATGGTTGCCATGCGCGGGAACGCAGCAATCCCGAGGTGGACACCGAAGGCAGTGAAACACGTTCCTCTGCCATTTGCAATTCTTCTGACACAAGTGAGCTGCGAACGACCACGTCAACTGACATGCCACAACCTCAAACGCAATGCTACGTTCGCGCGCTGTCCTAGGAACGAGACGCCCTCGAACACGAGGCAGCTCAAGCACGGAACACAATGAACATCGAGCGCGCAAGTGCTGCACGATAATTTCGTTGCAAGCGTACATCGGGATTACTGATTACGTTTTGAATGCATGAGCAACGCGG